AAACCCTGGTTTGAATGGTTAAATAACATCTATATTCTCCTCCAGACAAATGGCCTGGGAAATTACTGAGCCACTGATCAAAGATGCCAGCATGCAGATGGACATGCTGGCAGTGAGACTGGTGTTTTTCCTTCATTAACTCAGTGTTTAAAATTTCCCATTAATGGGGAGATCCATTTTCCTCTTATTTCTTCAAAAAAAACAAACAAGACTACAAGTAATAATTTCTCATTTATCTCATTCTTCCCACAAGAGCATATGCTGTCTAAATATGGGGTCTGACACCATCTGCCCACAACGGCAGATCTCACAAGTGTGAATCTCAATCTAGTAATGGCCTCTCATTGTTTGTAGTTTTGCATCACAGACAGGTAGTTTTCTAAAGCCAAAGGAGTGTTAGTTTTAAAAAAGGGGAAGTTTTGAGACAATCCGGCTTTCTTCTAACTTTGGACCCTGTCCTATAATCCTTAGATGTATTTGCTTTACACACTGAATAAGGGCCCAAAATCAAATAACTCGTTTTGTTTTAATGTTCACTACTTCATTTGATTTTTTTTTTTCTTTTATATTATCATACACTTCTAATTTTGTGTAGGCTTCTGGAATGAATAATCTTGTGTGTTTTTAGCAAGAATTGTATAGGTGTGGTTGGGTTTTTTTTGTATGTAATGTTTGTTCATTTTATTGTCTTGTTTTGGTGAAAGCTGTAAATAAACCACCACTACTCAATGGTATGATTTATTCTGAAACCAGTTCTATAGCGGGAAATCACGTTTAATACAAACTTGGGTAATCCTTATCTCCGCATGCCATACAAGTTGCAAGGAGGTGGGAGGGGTGGGGGGCAGGGATATTATTGTATAACAGTTGAAAATACTTTTAAAAGTAAATGAGAAATCTTTAGCTCAGAAGTTCAGTTATATATCTTGGGTGCTCAGCCTTTTGGCCCCACAGGCCAGATACAGAGTGTGAGGCCAATTCATGGGCTGCATCGGACTCTGTAGACTAGGATCTGGCTGCATGCTGCCCTGGCTTGGTCCTGTGTGCAGGGATTGTGCTCTGGGGGCCCCAAGCCATTCCTGTCTGGTTCCATGTGCAGGGATTGGGCCCTGTGCACCCAACTTAATGTTAAGGACCATGGCCCACAGGGCTCCCCATACATCTGTCCATATACTGTTCCTATTGGACTTCTGAAGTGTTTAAATGTATCATGGGTGTTCAATAGGGGTGTGTGAAACGGGCCATATTTGATTTGGTTTCAAAGTCAGCCTGAATCGGGGACAGTGACTCAGAGATTCGGAGAATCAGCGATTTGGCTATAGACGCAGTTTTAAATGCTTTTTCTATATACCTTGAGGTACGAGGTGTGGCTCATGAATGCTGCAATGGTGAGGTGGGTGGAGCGTCCCAGAGGAGTGGGGGGGGCCCTCCGCGCCCCCCCCCCCCCCATGTGCTTGGGACTGAACCTGGAAGTGGACCAGAAATAATTCCGATCCAGTTCTGGGTCTGCCGTCAAGCGCGTTGGGGGGCCGCCCACGCTCCCCCGGCTCGGTGATCAGCTGTGGGTGACCCAGGAGGCACCAGTCTCCGAGCTGGGGTGGGGGGGGCGGGTGGCATGGGGTCCCCCCCCCGCATGCTCCCCAGCAAACCCAGAAGAGAACCAGAAGTGCTTCCGGTCCACTTCCAGGCCTGCTGCTAAGCATGCTGGGGCACCCCCTCTCCCCCCCACTTGCGCTCCAGTGAGATGCTCCTTCTGCCCCAGCATCACAGCATTCACAAGCCGCCTGGTACCTTGAGGTATGTAGAAAAAACATCTAAAGCTGTGTCTACATCCGAATCATCAAATCTCTGAATCGATTTAGAGGGTTCCAGTTTGATTCAGAGAGATTAAAGGGTCTCCTGATTCGATTCAGATTTGGAGAATTGGCCACTGAATCGGGCCAAATCTCCACCGAATTGAATCGGCGATCGAAGCTTCACACAAGCCCTAGCGCTCAACCTCCAGCCTGCAGGCCGTGCCCAGCCTTGTATCATCCAGGTTGTAGGGCTTCCCCATTGAGCAGTAACAGTACAAAATAAATAATGATAAAAAACTTTCACAACAAACTAACCTCAAGTGTATGTTGATTCAAATACTTTATCATAAATTTGTTCTTGGGTGGGCAATCAGGACTCGTAGTAGAGATGATATCTTTTATTAGACCAACAAGATTTTTGCAAAAAAAATTCTTTAATTGCAAGCTTTCGGGCACAAATGCCCTTCATCGGGCATTGGAGAAAAGATTGTAAAAATTCTCCTGGGTAGAAATGAAAGTTCATATTTCATAGAATTTCACAGAGGAGTCAATAGATGGGAGGATTCCTTTGGGCAGTCAGTTCATAGCTGATATGGAGCGCCTCACCTCCTGTGAGAGTCTGTGATGATGCATATTACCTTGAAACAAAGGCAGGAGCAGGATCTTAGGTTTCAGGTGGTCACAGTTGCTTCCTGCTTGGGAAAATATGAAGATTTCACTTCAAAAAAATCTTTTTTCTTTTTCTTTTCTTTCATTGAAATTTTTTGAAATTTCTTGGGTGGGCTACTTTCTTAGGAATTTCAATCTAAATTATCACTAATTGTTATGGTAATCCACGGCAGGTAACCTAAAAGAATGGCTCAAAATTAGTTTACTAAATAGTCGATCCAGTTTCTTCAGATGTGTCCACATCAGCATCTTTAAAACCATTGATTTCTGAGGAGTATTTTGTGTAAAGTTGCTTCATTTTGGCAGATAGGACTCAGATCTTTTTGTCACACTATTTTACATTTGATGTGTGTTACTTTTTAATGAAAAGTCTGGAAATGTCTTGAAAATATTTGCGCGTCCATTTGTTTGTTGTTTTGCTGTGCCTTTTTTAAACCCACAGCCATGGGGAAACTTACTTTAGCTCTCAAGTGTTGGAATTAATCCTGGAAGTTTTTCAAAGAATGTTCATTTTTCAACCAGTTTTAGGTTTTAGACTAGTATTGTTCCTTTTCGTTTCCATATTCCACTCTTTCTCCTTGTTTGTTACATAAAGTCCTCCCCCCCAACCCCCCCCCCCCAAACAAACCAAAACCAAGACATCCAACACTCATTTAAGACTTCCACTTATATTTTGCACTGTGCAGTTTTGTTTGTTTAGATACAGGGCGAGAGGAAGCTGAAAAATTATTCAACTGCTGTTTGTGTGCATTTGTCAGTTATATACACCTAATAATCAGAAATGCTTACTTAACTCCATCACAAAGTATGGGTTGGTAGTTATTGGACAAGGATTATAAATATTCATAATCTGTGAGCTGACTCAGAGATTAGATAGAGAGAAGCTATAAATGGGGCGGGGTGGGGGGTGCTATGAGACCACACCAGTTAGATTCAGTGGATGATTCTGATGAGACATGGAGACAGAGGCACAATCCCAATGCCTCAGATAACTTTGCTAGTGTTTTGTACCCAATTGTAAAGTCTCTGGACCTTCTTACTGAGTCAGATCATTAATTTAGTACATGTCTAGATTATGTCAAATCATTAATTTAGTACATGTCTTATTTAGTACATGTCTATATTTATAAAAGTAGATTTAAAAAACTTGCTGTTTCCAGTCCTTTTTTTTATATAGGAGAGCATATGGCCTGTAACTCAGTTTTGAATAGAGTACTTTAAAATGTACTCTAAAAAGGGTTAGACTATAAAGAAGATATAAATAAAGTATTTAACATTCTCCGTTTAAATTCAGATTTTACTTTGAACAGTTTTTTTTAAAAGAAAAGCTGTAATGTAATTATGGGTTATTGTTTATATTACAAAGTTTATAATTTAGATATCAATTTAGATAATATTGATATAATCTTATAGTTTAGATAATTGGTATTTTCAAAAGGTACTCAGTTTTTATTTAAATTATTTTTATTGTATTGACTTGTTTAAATGTCTGAGCTACAAATAGTCTTGTATTCATAGAGGTATAAATGTGCTAGATATGTATTATTGTATTATTCATTTCTCGTACTACATATCCACTTGTTTTTACTTTTGCCTAGTCAAAATGAATGAAGCTTAAGACTGTCTGGAACAGACCAGATTACTGTAATGTTTTTCCATATATTGGATTTTAGTGCTGTTTCACATTAAAAAAAAAATTATATATAATATTTAAATCTGCAAACTTTGGGGGAAAGTAGTATCCTTAACTGTTTGACAGGCTCAAACTGGGTTCTGAAGATCGATTTTTTTTTTTTTTTTTTTTTTTTTTTTTCTTTTAGGGTTTGTTTAATATCACTAGTAGTGCATAGATTGCAGCTGGAAATTAGAAAATGTTCTTAGTTTGCCTGTCAGAGAAAGAAAACCTTGCTTTTCTATGAATCTGACATTAGTAGAACACATGTAGTTATGTCAGTTTTCTCATTTTGGGTGCCTGCGCCTTGAAGCGTATAAGATACATGCAGGTTGAGCTGCATAACAGGCTCATTTGAGAATCAGAGTATTGCCCAATTAATAGTTGGTTAATATTCTCAACATGCATCAATGCTGTGCTGTAGGAGCTGTGATACTCACTGAGTCATGTTAATATCAGGGCTGCTTTTAGAGGTGTAAGGAGCTCTAAGTAATGAGGTAATAATCTTATGTAACATGTGAAGACCTGTGGAAATGTTGTTCCTGCATGAATTAACTTGCATATCTTGATTCAGCTTAATAGGCCTTTAATACTAAAATCAGTGTTACTGGCAAATGGCTAGTGCCATTACCGTCAGAAATTTTATATGCGTATGAATTGCTCCTAGTATTCCTCTGCTTTACAGAGTTGTGGTCATCTGTTCTTTAGAAAATAAATTACTGACATTTTAACATTTGCTAGCCAAAACAAAAATGAGACTTTGTTGGGAAAATGTATTTGTAGTGAAATTTGAAATGTTTTTTTTAAACTTCATGCATAGAAGAATATTTTTTTTTTTGTTGAAAATCATTCTTGTTTTTCAGACTGAAAACCTAGAGAGTACTATAACCATACCGGATATCAGACTACACAGCAATCCTTCAGCTTTTAATGTGTACTGCAATGTTCGCCATTGTGTTTTGGAATGGCAAAAAAAGGAGGTATCCTTAACTTTGGCATCAAAGAACACTGTACAAAGTGGGGATTCAGATAGTGATGAAGAGGAGGAGTCCAAAGAGCCACCCATCAAACTTCCAAAGGCAAGTAACTCTGGATGGCTTCTCAAGTGTGGATGTGCCAAATTCTTGGACAATTTTGTAATAGTGTCTCTGGATCCTTTTATTTTATAATTAGTAGTTAGGAGGAGTTGCTAGATCACATCGGTAGTCCATCTAGTCCAGTATCCTTGCTGACCGTGGTGAATTATTTAGGAATCTCTAGGTAGTCTCCTGTAAAATCACTTACCTGTAGAAGTTTATTTTTAACTCTCTCAATTAGGAATGGACTTGTATACTGCATTAGGAAGATTTTTAAACCTTCCAAAGATTTAGTTTTTATCCCTATCCCATTCTTCTCTAACCACCCTCTTTTTTTGGTATCTTAAATAAGTCTTGGCTTCAGTATCTTAAGGTACAGATTTCCATATGTTGATTGCTGCTATCTATTAAGATCTTAGAAAGAATAATTGATCCATTGATTTTTTTATTTTATTTTTTTAGGCTGTAGTGCGTTTTTTAGGCTCTGTAATTATGCCTAATATTACAAGAATGGGAGATCATGCAACTTCAGATTCCATGTTTTAGACCAATTTATAACTGTAGGGTTTAGAATGAGACCTGAAAGTGAGACTGTTGCCTCTGTTACTCCTCCTCTAATGCAGGAGTTTTTTTATACCTTACTTTGAAGTACTTGGTGCTGACCACGTGTAGAAAACTGGTCTTATTACATAAGCTGCTGCTTGTCGGGTTTAAAGCTGTTTTTATGCCCTGTATCTGCTCGACCTTTATCTTTCTCAGTATTGTAAGGTTGACTTTGCCTCTGTTTGGTCCAAAATATCAGTCTTTTCCAAACTGACACTTTCTCAGTTTTTTGCATGCTGCTGCTCTTGCAAGAGGCATGCACAGCTGTCTGGAAAACCAGCCCTTTATTTATTGTCTGTAAAAATTCCTTCTCAAAACTGCTGTAATGTCCACAGAAACCTAACAAATTAGGCTTAGGATGCTGCCTGTCACGTTGACCACTAATCTCTTTGTATTTCTCTGCCTATATCTGTGCTATATCTAAATGCTAAGTGCTTTGGGACAGGGACTGTCTTTTCTGTGTGTTCTAGGTGTTGTGATAGTACAAATTAATTAATAGTAGGTCCAATCCATTATGGCAGTTTGTGTGTAAAAGCATAGAGCTTGTTTCCTCCATCTGTTTATTTCTGTAATTGGGGTTTATAAATCTGCTTGCTTTTAGCTGGGGACAAAAAAAATTGTGAATTTTGCAGTGAATATTCCAGTTTAATTGATTTTGTTTTTTCTGAATCATGTAATAAAAATGGAATGAATGTGACAGTAGAAGATACATTTTCAGTTGAAATGCCTTTTTTGTTCATCATAAAATTGTTTAAAATTATACTTTTAACAGAATTTTAAAGAAACTAAGGGGTCCTTGGAGTTGAATAGTAGAATCTCTTTCGGATTGAAAACTGATTAAAGGATGTGTTGAAAAAACCCATTTATATGCTTCCGTTTTTTAATACCTTCCGAGGAATTAATAAATCTTTTTTTTAAGATTCCGGTCTCCTTTGAGTGACTTCTGCATATTGCTGCTCAAGAAGTACATTTTGTCTGATTTACATATGATGCAGTGCAGCCTTCTTGGAGAGCTCATGTGCCTCTTACTCTTCCCCTGCCGCCCTCTCCTCCCTCCCTCCCCCCACCCTCCCCTCGGTCTCTCACCCACTAACTCCTCAATTTATGTCTTCACTGACTAGCTTTCTTGCATGCATACCAGCCTCTGGCTTTTTTACTATTCATTCCATCCAGAAAGAGCACACAGATGCTCCACCTGCAGATGCTTCCTCAGCCTGATGGTATTTATACCCTAAAAAGAATTTTTCCAACTATTTGAGTTGGTCTAATAAAAGATACCAGATTTACCCAAAGAACCTTGTCTGTCGATGTCCTTAGACCGACATGGGTATAACCTACACCCCTCTTTTACTCTCAGCATTTCTGACTGTTTTAAGGCTGAGAATGCTGTACAATTCCTTGAACTTGTGGACATAAGGCCATGACTTGTGAAACTTCCATTTGTAACTAACCCCCCTCGCCATTTGACGTTTTGGGAGTTCCATAAAAGAAATGTCTTCCAGTTTTATATGTACTTATTACCATGTGTGAAAGCAACCCTGTTCTCCACCATTGGGAACCAGCATTTTTACCAGGCTTGGCACAAATTGACCCCACACCTTTCCCAAGTGGCAGTCCAGTTTCTTTCCTCTGCTTGATCTGCTGCTTTGCCTTTTGTTCCCTACGCTGTGTTTCCTGCCCAATCTGCTGCTTTGTTTTCCTTTTCCTGCCCTCTGTTCCCTGTCTGATCTCTTGCCCTGCTTTCTACCTGATCTGTCACTGTCTGGCCTATCCACACCTTGATTTGGCATGTCTCACACACAGGCAGTCTGTGCCACTTGTGGCTCTCGTGCCACATGGTCACTCTGTTCCATACCTAAGGAGATGGCAAAGTAAGATGCAAGCATTATAAAATGCTCCCTTGCTTCTCTTGGAAATAAGGGTGACTAAATACTAGGCAGCAAGTTTTCAGTATTGATACCATTCATTCTGCATTGGTGGAAATGCTCCCTGTTTATTGTGCGGGCCGCCTCCCGATCTCGTCCATGTCGCCCTGTGCGAGCCAGGAGCGATATGCGGACCCGTTTTTGTGCACGCGGGCTATGGCCAGCAGCCCGGGCACGCGGGGTTGAAGAAGACCGGTGGCGAGCTAGAATTAGTTATGGACGCGTAATGGTTGATTAAAAGATTGTTTACTTACACCAAAGATGGTCGTGGTGTAGGCTGGACAGTTTTCCAGGCTCAGCTCCACTTAAGTCCTCGCAAGAGGACTCCGACAATTGACCCCGGAGTGGTTGAAGCTCCGTGGGTTCAGTAAATAGGTCCCCGGAGTTGTTAAGACTCCGTGGGTTCGGTAAGTCGGCCCTCTATTGCCCTCTTAAGGAGAAGAAAAAGCTGGGTTCGAAGGGATTAGCAGCGCTTAGAAATCTTCACGCTCTTTCTCCCAAACTCCAATTGCTCTCTCTCGCTCTCTCCAACTTGGGCAGAAACCTCCCAAGCTCTTTATACGGCTAGCAAGCCAATCGCTAGCCGCCACGTGTGCATAATTTAGGATCGGCCAATAATCGAGCGCGAATCTAAATGCAAATGGCGGGAACTCCTTTGCACCGTGCATCACTATGATGCAAAAGAAATGCACCATGCAAAGAAGGCTACCAACGGTGGGAAATACTGTTTTGCACGCGGGTTCTCCTATTGCAAAAGAAAACTCCTCCGTGTAAAGGAGCTGCAATTTGGCGGGGACATAATTTAGCAGTGCCGAAGCACACAAAAACAAAAAACCACAACTTTGGGTTGTGACATTTATTAGTTGAAATCGGCTAATAATTGAAGGTCAGACTGTAGTGAGGCATCCCCTTCAAAGCATCATCTTAAGGTGCTGTGGAACTCTGGTACCAAGTCTCCGTCTGTGCTGATTCTCAGGTAATGAGTTGTTACAGCCCCGGACTACAGAGCCTTTGCTCTTTCATTTAAGCTGTAACAGTTTTTAGCCGTGCAAATGCCTGATTCTAAGCTCCCAAGAGAGCAGGTTTCACAATTTTAATCTTCTCTTACCTTTCGGAGATGTGGCTCATTGGCATTTTAATCTTTTTTCTAGCAGTCAGTAGAAGGTGAAAGAATATATTTTTTTAAGATCTGGTCTTTTAGACCGATGAAATGGATGTGATGGAATATGAGGTCCACTCTGGACTGCTTAGGTGTCTTTTGAGGAAAGAGGCCTCCCTTTCTAGTTCTATCATCTTATTCTCAGAAGTCTTACTTGAAGCAGCAGCAGTATGCTTCGTAGCAGCCATAAAAGAATTTCAAGAGATTGCAACAGGGACTACATGTGTAAACAGAAGCATTAGTGGAGGTTCTAAGGGACTTAAGCTTGGCCTGTCCCTGTACCAAAGGAAGCATGCTTCAGCTGCAACCACATCTAAAGACACTCAACTAGTTAGCTCATCAAGAAATTCTTTTTATGCATTGACATAATACTTCCCCTTTCTACCCAAGGTTGTTTTGCACCTCTTGATCTAAAAGGTTTTTTGGGGGGAGGGGGGTTGGTGAGAGGCGGGGGGGGTTCAATCTGTTACTCCAAGTAGCTTCAACAATTTTTTCTGTGGTGAGAATGGTGGGGGGGATGGACAATGACAGTGAGCTTAGGACATGCCTGCCAAAAAGGTTGGTTATCACAGAACCAAGAGACACGAAAAAATTCAAAAAGAAGTTTACATTATTAGTCTACCATGTCAAAGATAGAACCATTTCTGCTAGAGTTTCTCAGCAAGCTGTCTGTACTTATTTTCACAGCTAGATAATGCTACAGAGTTCTTTCTGAACCTGTATTTATCTAGTGATCAAGATCACTAGGCCAACAAACACTCTTTAGGTAAAATTTTCTTCTTTAACAGAAATGTCCTGCTTTCTTGAGTGTTAAAATCCTTTCCTATGAAAGGAATTCTTTGTGTAGAAAACAATAGAAACTTTCGTATTTACTTGATTGCAAGACAAGATGGGGAAAACAAATGTTCATTTTAAAATTGCATATCAAGTAAAAATACAGTATCTGCAGTTAGAAAGAGGTAGCAGGAATCCACTTGGTGAGGCACAGGGCAGCGTGTAGGCAAGGAGTAGTATGGGACCCAGGGTGGCAAAGGACTCGGTGTGGATGTATGGAGTGGTGAGGAACCTAGAGTGGAGGCACCTGGCAGTACAGCCTGGGGTGGTAGGGGAAGGCCTGGCACCAGTGAGGAGGGAAAATTGGCAGGGAGTGAAGG